TTGCAATTAAAAAGATATTGCATCAACGGATTCTTTTTTTATGGGGTAGAATTTTAAAAATTTCGATTGATATGTCTACGATTTTAGGGAGGGAGGTGTTTATAACGATTTCCGAATTATTTGAAACAAAGAGTTGTTTTAGATAACAACTCTTTGCAAAAATATTTGACGAGATAACCAATGTAATTAATTAATGACGTATTTTTATATACCATCTAGTACATGTTTAATTTTAATTTAGCTACGTGTTATAATGTAACAAGCCACGAAATAAATATTTGTTTAGAAGGGAATGGGAAATGTGACAAAAATGCGACAGGATGTTTAAAGACTACTACAGCAGAGTGAAAAAGAGAAAGGAGGCAGAGAGTGATTAGGAAAAGTGGGTCATGATGTGAAATAGTAAATGAGGTGGTGTACCACGGAGCAAATTAAGATAATTGTAAATCAGTCTTGAGCGTATAATGTTATAATACACAAAAGTTATCAGTCTAGCTTGGAAATATATGTGTCAAATGTATGTGGATCTTTATTACGATATTTGTACATTTGTACTAAAATTAATTAAGTTCTAATCGCGGTAGAGAAAAGATAACATTCAATTGATCTCCCCCCGTCGTTTGATTCATACACTTGTATGTAAAATTTCTAACAGATTTCTACAGATGGCGCGGACGATCGTTTACTCACTAATTTACAATTTTTAATTTAGTGATACAATCAATCTTCCATTGTCGATTGCGTGTGTAATGTATATTATCTTGGGTTTACGTTAATCCAGTTTGATGAAATGATTACATTCCACTAATTTGATTAGTCCAGTCCTTTTTTGAACTGTTGAAAGTGTTTCTTATTAAAAGCACAAACACATATTGTATTATGCTTGGGCAAACACAGAATGGAAAAATAGTTGCTGGAATGAAAACATGTGTTGTTTACATTATTTCAATTCAGTGGTGACTCACTAGAAATGGCTTCTAGAAGGGTTCTAGAAGATATACTATATGTATACACGTATAAACATTTTTATGAAATACCAAATGTAATAGTTTCTCTTTATATTTATATACTTGCCAAAGTGTGTATAGTAACACATATATGCTTTTTTTCTATATGTACTTTAGATGTGAATTATGTGAGCAGTTTTGTTTTATCTACTTAAATTTTATTCACTTATATTTGACTTTTGATTTTTCATGTCTTAAATAATTTTTTTCTTTTTCATGATTTGCTGTACAATACTTTGATGAATATGTAAGAGGAAAGCATAACGGAAAGAAACGGATGGTAACTTTTAAAAAAAATATTTGATATTGCCTATTGCTGTAAATTAGTGATTTCCCCTTTGATACTGATGATTTCATCGAGGGGAAAACCTATCAGATATTGTACTCATAATATTTAGAACTTTCCACATGCTGTCAATTCGTTGGACAAAACCTAGTTTATATCTATTATACGTTATATATCTAGTTTAATTATGTTGTAACAACAATATATTATGTAATTATAATAATGATAAGTATTACTATTATTTTTTATTTTAGACTTGATACAATTTTTATTTAATATTTAACATCCATGATAAACTTTCCATTGATCATATTAAAAAATTTATCAATTCATTTCGATCAGATAACTTGATTTTTTAGTAAACGGTTTACGGTAACAGATAAAAAATCGTTTAAAAAGTATTTTAAAAAAGTGAAAATAAGTTCTAACAATAATAAACGAAAATTTCAATTGACTCTCGTTCATCAACCAATAACTGAAGTATTTTGTATTTCTATTACACGTATAAATAAAATATCGAATTCGTTATACTGTAAATAGTGCAGTCTTGTTTGGTATATATTTGTTCAAATAGAAATCAGTTTCTATTTTTGAGAGAGATATAATATTTTGCCTTTTTACTTTATTTATTTATATGACATATATGAAACAATGTAGTCTTGGAGATGTATCTAATTTTATTGTATTGTACAATTTTGTTACATAAATGTATCAAATTAGCATAATTTCTTACAATACAAAATGCCACGTAATAAGAAAATTTATTTAGTTATGTAACAGACTGTACATTTAATGATTTATTCTGCTGCATAGAAATTATCTTAATGTGTCGTATATTCGTGGTATAAGATTTCTATAATGAGCATTAGATATGTACATATGTATTGTCGATATGCATGTTATTGATCTTTGTTCTTTCATTTGCATCTAATCAATTAGAATATGTATCAGTTGTTAATGATTCAATTAATAGTCTGTGACATGAACTGTAATAGGACTCATAATTATGAAATGCTTACAATAATATTGCTTGCAATATTGAACAAATCTAACTCTGTATAAACTTTTCCATAAAAAAAGATTTTTCTTGATCATTTTCTACAGAACCATACATACAATGCTTTCTTCAATTTGTCCTCTTCATGCAAGCAAGTCAAATCTACTCATTCTGGAAGAAGTATAAATCTTTTTTTTTCTTTTCTGGAAACAGAATTGAGAAATTCAGAGTACACGTGTACTTTGATATCTTAAAGTATTAACGCACAGTTCATGAATCCATTTATGAAATAATACAGATCTTTTTACTTTAATTAACGTTAATTCAGAGATTAAAACAAAAAAGTACAGTGATTAAGTGCTCGAGAAGTGATCTGGGGATTCAAGTCCATACTGAATTTCCCAGTTAACTGATTCTTCTTGATTATTCAAAGTGTACCAGATACATATTCAATAATATTGTTTCTCAATAATTTCGAACCGACCCCAAAAAATATATTTAGAAATCTCCAGGAGAGTCTTGGAAAAACATGTATTTTTAATAGGACAAGTGACTTGAAGCAGTTCAGATCGCTAGTTAGGCTTTTAATTATGCGTCTCGACCTTAACGAAAATTCTGTACTTGAAAGAGACACTTGTCAAGTGATGGCAGAACCTCTCTTTTAATACAAATTGAAAAAGCTACGCTCCATACTATTACTATTACTTTTCATAGTAGTGGATAAAAGAACAAAGAAGAAATTCATCTTAATTAATATTTTCTCTTCTTTTTAATAGTTTTAATAAACTGTATAGTATGCTACTTCGATTCATTAATCATATTAATTGAATAATACACCTTAATACTATATAATTACATCTAAGGTGTACCTATTTATCTAAAATAAGTTCATTTTTATTATGAGAAAACTATTTTACGGATGTTTGATCTAAGCTTCCTGAGAGTCCTCCTGCAATAATATTGTTATTGTATAGTAACAATATAGTATATAAAATATTTTTCTTTTCAGTCTTTTCATTTTTCATCGGATGACATAACCAAGCTAAAAAAAATTTCTAAGAAATAGTGTTTAAGTTCTCTAAGTAACTTTAAAAAAAAACACAATATATTAATATATTATATAATATATAATTTAATATATATAATAAATATATATAATATATATTATATATATTTTGTATAATAACTAGGATAACCTCCTGCCCAGTTATGTTACACATCCTAGAACGTTATTTGCGTGTGCGCGCGCGCGTCACCAGCAAACACGTGCCAACATCAATGTATCGGTCTATCCCTGAAGAAGCTGCAATGCTGGCAAAACGCCGAGATAATTCCTATTGACATGGCTTGCACCTAAAAGCTTAGGCTGTAACAGCTATGTAAGCTCGAGTTATGAATGTTGAGAATTTTTTGATATGTCATGTAGTTGTCAAAGAATACTGCGTACATACATATTACTTTATAATATTTAAAAGGTTCTTTTCAGTTGTCATTTCATAAAAAGACGCCGCAATAGTTTGTTTTATAATATAGGATAATATTAAAAATCTAATAAAAGTAATATAAATAATATTCTGAAAATTACAAAACCTTGTGTTTTTCAAATGGGATTAAATATTTTTTCCCCCATTTTAATTATCGCGTTTTATTGCATATTGATAAATTTTTATTCAAAACTGTTTATGTTGAACGGTCACGAATGACTGAAAAACCATTATGATATCATTAATAATTATCATCTCTTAATATTTTATATTATGTCTAATAAGTCGTTTATTAAATTTTTAGTCTTTTAGATCTCTTAAAAAAAGATATGTTAAAAACAGTTCCTTTTTCTTTTTCAGTCAATAGGTGCTAGAAACAAAAAGGGGTGTATTTTTTTTAACTTTTCTGCGGCCAGTGGATAGGAAAAAGATACTTCAAGATGAACAAAGTGGATTACATGGAGGTCACTGTACCTAACTACTCGTATGTCTTCAACTTTGAAGAAACATTCATTCATATGGATACTAAGATATGGATGACAAAGAACTGGACAAATTGTTTCTATTATTGTGGCATTTATATGATCCTCATTTTTGGAGGACAACATTACATGTCAAATAGACCAAAGTTTGAACTAAGAGGCATGCTTGCATTATGGAACACGCTGCTCGCAACATTTTCCATTATTGGATTTACTAGGACAGCACCAGAATTGATTCACGTATTAAGGCATTATGGGTTTTACCATAGTGTTTGTATACCTAGGTAATTATACTTCTATATCTTATTAATCAAATATCTATGGAATCATTTTTTATATTCAATATACTTATTATATTTTATATTTAATATACTTATTTTTATATTTAACATACTATTTAATATACTTATTTTTATATTTAATATACTATTTAATATACTTATTTTTATATTTAATATACTAGAGTGAAGACGATTCTATATTCGTATGTCGTATAACTACTTGAACATTTGTAGTTCTAGGATTGATTTGTTGCATGTGTACACTGCCGATCATAAGTTTTAGAACACTTCTTTTTCCACTGAAAAATTCGAACAAATTTTACTTCATTTTATCTGAGAATCTTTTTTATTACAGTACGTCATAAGACATACGTAATGCGAATAAAATAACAGATTTTGTAAATATTAGCAAGTATTGTAATAACTGTGATCGATAATGTATGTGCTTATTACTCACAAGACGGTTTGATGAGAAAAAATTTCGCATTTATTAATCTAATTATTTATATTTTCCTTTTTTTTCCAGTTTTATTGAACAAGACTGCGTGTCTGGTTTCTGGACATGGATGTTTGTTCTGTCGAAGCTTCCAGAGCTTGGTGACACAATCTTCATTGTGTTGCGGAAACAGCCATTGATCTTTCTACATTGGTACCATCATATAACGGTCCTTCTTTACTCATGGTTCTCTTATTCAGAATATACAGCATCAGCCAGATGGTTTGTTGTAATGAACTACTTTGTTCATTCCATAATGTATACTTATTACGCTTTGAAAGCAATGCGATATAGACCGCCAAAGGGGATCGCCATGCTGATCACTACATTACAGTTAGCACAAATGGTTATTGGTTGCATTATAAATATTTCGGCTCACCAATACCTAGAAAGTGGCCAAATTGATTGCCACATTACGCGCGTCAACGTCAAACTTAGTCTGCTTATGTACTTCAGCTATTTTGTTCTCTTTGCTAAATTCTTCCAAAAGAGTTATCTATCTAAATCTAATAACAAAGTAGGAAAGAAGGTTTACGCCAATGGAACAGAAGAGTATGACAAGCTCAAGGCTAATTAAAGCACACCAAGATTTTTGAAAACTTTTTTCTAGAGACGCTTTCCAGTAGCATTTCTTGAAAACATTTCCCAAAGAATCTTTTTTCAAAGGCATTACGGAAATGCATTTCAAGAGATGCATCTTTGGAAATTTTCTTTTTTTTTTTTTTTTTTTTTTTTTTTTATAGAAATCTGTTAATTTAAAGTTGCAAAAGTTGGTCGGTTGCGGTAAGATGAACGTGGTTGTCAAAGATGGAAATTACTTGAAGATATAGCACATTGAATTTTACAATAATATTATATGTTGCACACTGACTTTAGTAATAAATTTCATGATGACCTGTTTAACGCGTTTGACGTTGAATATGTTATTATAGAATTAATATGGAGCTTGTTAGAGGCATGTCTTGAAACTTTTTTTTCTATAGAAAACGGTTTCTAAAGAAATTTCTTGATGAACCTTTACTTCGTAATTGTTCTTTACGAAGTTAACAAAAGATATGGATGGAACGAGGATGGAAACGTAATATTTAAAAAACTATAATAGAAGAACGTATCTTTTAATATCGAACTTCAATTTAGCAATTGAAAAAAGATATTGAACGTAGTGAGATTCGTCAACAAACTCGACATATTTTTATTAAATTCAATATGTTTTACATTGTTCCTTTTTTCCACGTCGTCTGATCAAATTTGTAATTTTATAATAAAGTAAAAGGAAAGGAAAGAAAAGCAAAGAACTGTTTCCAAATCTCGGTCTATCGGAATAATGATAAAAGGGAAAAAAGAGAATTACTTTTAAAGGAATAAAAAAAGAATGAAGAAAGAAATCAAGAATGAAATTTCATTAGGCCTACCTCCGAAATGAGCTATAAGATATTCTTCGTAGAAAATAGTAAAACAAGGACGATAGATAACTATTGAGAAACGAAATTGTAATTCTAATTCATGACCATTTAAGAAACAAAACAAACGATAGATAACTATTGAGAAACGAAATTGTAATCCTAATTCATGACCATTTAAGAAACAAAAGAAAATAATAAAAGAAACAAAAGGGTTTATATTTACTATTTTGTGCTGCTAGGAATAATAAAACGGGCAGCTTGCCGACGTCCTCTAACTTTCAAAGTGGGGCCAGCCTTACAAAAAACGTTTACTTTATTCATTTCTAAATATTTATATCGCATAATTTGTTTTATATGAAACTTTTGTATAAATTGTTATTTATGTGTATTCATTTATTATTTAAGTTATTATCTATAATAAAAACACTTCTGTCTAAATTCCTGGCGCAACAGACACAAGCAGATTGTAATTCATTGGATAAATCTAAAGATTTTAAATTTAATTTAAAAGAAGACGAGAAAAAGATAGCGACGGACTTTTTTCCACGTAATTTTGTCTATCCAATAATCCATGCAAAGTACTACCGAGTCCATCAAGCTCTGAAGTAACAACTCTTGCAAGATTTCAGAAATTTGAAGTACACGTTAAATATAAAGTTTGTCGTAGAAAGTATTAACAGCACAAGGTGCTAGAAATATTCTTATCATTCTATTTATACTTCTAATATGTAAAACTACCAAGTTTTTTTTTGTTCTTTTTAGAAATTTTTACTTCCAAATGTGTTTGTTTCTGAGAGTTTGATTGTGTGATGCTTTTCTCTGCAATCTTCAATATTACCAATTACTTATTATGGACTGGTGCTTAAACAAAAGAACATTTTGAAATAACCTTTACGTATTTAGCTAATACGTATTTAGATACACACTTGTTTAAGTCCTCGACTAAAAGCTAAGTATGTAATTCGTACACAGAATAGATAAATAGATACTTTTTGTAGGGATGGTTGTTCTTTGAAAGATGAACTGTCCGATTCTAGTCGCATGGTCAGAATGAGAACACTTGTTAGCTGGAATGGAAATTAAATTAGCAAATTAAAGTTTTCAAAACCGGAATAATTCATGCCGCTGATCGACGCGCACTTTCATAATCGACGTTTTTTTTTTTTTTTTTTTTAATGCCTTCCTTTTTTAAAATTTTTGTATAACATCCGACTGGATACAACGTTTTGTTCTTTCTCCAATTGACCATTTCCTTTTTAATTATCTTCCAACTCGCACAAATATGCACCAATGAAAAATTCGAAATCTTTGCTTTGACTGAGGTACACATTGATCGTTTGTATGTAAATCGTATTTCATTTATTAATTTAATCTAGATACAATTTTAATAAATATTTATAATTCATGCGAATAATATTATTCCAGTTTATGCATGTCCTCTCTCTTTCTCTCTCCCCCTCTCCCTTTTTTGTTTTGTTTTGTTTTTGCTATTCGATTGAGAAAATATCATTAAGGGATCATGAGGATCAGTCCAACGAATGACAATATTTGATTTAACATATTGACGCAAGTGATGGCCATCGCCGTGTCGTGTATGTATTTTTGCTAGAATGGTAAATCGTGTACACATTTTTGGCAACAGGCAATGATTTTGTATTTAAAAAGAAACATTTCGAAATTCTTGCCTTATTTTCAGAAATGTCATTTCCACGAGATAGCACACCGTCTGAAAGTAACCTCTTTAGAAATGAAAATATGCGTCAATGGGTAAACAGTAAATATTGCCGGAACATTCCTGCGTTCGATCTGAATTCTCTAATAGCCCTTGCCTGTTTATTTATTTCATACAGATAATGTCAACACAATAATGATAATACTGGTCGAAAGGTGCGTGTTTCATTTTGGTCGATAGAAATAATTTCATCACTCGTGTTAATGTTTGTATGCAAGTTATGTCATAACGCAAGAACGAATAAAAATACATACCTACGCAAATTAGTTTGTAAAAAGAGTGTTTGCAATAATTTGAAATTTTAATCAATCGTAAGAACATACGTTCTCTAGGACTTGCAATATGTAACACGATTGACGTTAAATTGACGTATCTATGAGAAATATCTTGCCAATCCGTGTGTAATGTTATTTTCATTCACGTGCAAGGCATACGTGGCTCAAGTTGATATTATTACACATTTACGAAATTTGTTGCAACGAAATTATTGCAAATACTTGCGTTCGAAAAAATTTTACTAAATATCGATTAATTGCAACTGATCGCTGCTTGTTTGTCGTGTCGATGCTACGTTATATTCGATTGATTATTAATTAAGATTAAATTAGTTAATTGAACACTGCTTCTACTCACTGATATTGATGGCAAATAATTCGGGTTGATTCTAAAGCCGACTTTTTCAAAGATTTTCCATAGAGGAACTATGGAATTATAGAAAAGAACCAGAATAAACAAAAGCCTCGAATATTTATACAGATGATATTAAAAATTAAGCGCTACATTTATTATGTCACAGAAACACTCGTAATAACTATTGAGCTATCGCCGTTCAATGGCGGTACTACGTATGTATGTATGCATGTATGTGTGTGTGTATGTATGTACAATCTTCTAGCGAAATTTTTTTAAAGAGAATCGAAAGAAGAGAGAGAAAAAAAATAGTTTTTTTAGATTATTCAGAGACGGATACAGCGATCAATTCGACGATCAATTAAAGTGAATAGAACTTCAATTCTGAACTTGAGACGCGAGAGTAAGATGATGCTTGCAACTGAATAATGGGATGCAAACGGCAAAAACGTAACAAGTTTCACATCAACAACGAAGTACGAAATACAGAGAAACAAAAAGAATTCTGCCTGTTATTGATTATTTGTTTAGATGAAATTTCTCAATATCTTTTAACTTAATTCGATTTTCTTCATGCAGTGTAATTCAATAGGCAAAGAGAAATAAAAATGGAAGCAACGTATAGAAAGATGAGGGATAATGTTTTGTGCGTGTGTGCGTGCATGAGTGTGCGAGAGAGAGGGAAAGCAAAAGAAGCGATAATGAGCGTCAGATGAAAAAACTAAGATTGTATAATTTTTTTTTAAATTTATATAGAATAATTTTGTTTTGTTATTATCTATACTTTTTCTTTATTATACATGGATATAATATATGAATAATAATAATAATTTATGACGGAAGGTATGGACAAAAAGTATTCATTTTTAATTGTTGAATGTTGAATGAAATATTCGGATCCAATTCCCTACCAACCCCTCTTTCAAAGTCGATGACTTTTGTTATTATTATTTTATGATACATGAAAAATATGAAAGTTCCTGAATACATGATTCAATAGGATCATTTTTAAAATTAAAGGGTTTATAACAACAACAGTAGAATTAAAAAAAGACACCAGGTTAAAATTTCTTTAGAATCAAAACCTATTTTTATTAAATGAAGTAATTCTTAATTTTTTTTTATTTTAAATAATAAACAACTTAGAAATTTATCGCTAATGAATAATTTACAATTACTAAATATGAATTTAAAATAAAATTATAAATGTAATGAATTTATCATTACACGTTATTTGTAATAGATGAATGAATACACTAATATGACCATTAAGCATAATAATTTATCTTTAGAAGTTACAATATTTTTAATTATTTATTTTGTAGAAAAACTACATTTAAAAAATATTTCATATTTCTTAAAAAAATATAAAAGTCAATATGGCATATAATATTTACAAGTCAAAACTATTAGTGCTGTTTATTAATATTGTACAAGTATATACAAACGCTATATTCACGTATATGAAATAAAGTATTACATTATAACTTTAATTTTTATGCAACAAGTAAAAGATATATGATTTCCAATTTGAAACTATTTTTTTAAATCAATGTAAAATCATTATTTTTACGATTTCCAATTCTGATATTTCTTACAGGAGTTTTATATAGGGAAAAAAACTATTTTTCTTTACCCCATTCTTCAGAAACATACCTTAACAAATCTGTAAGATTCTCAAATTCGGTTCTACTCTGAGGAGGATCATTTTTTGGTATTTTTGGTAAAATATTTCCAACCTTTAATCGAAACTCTTGGGCCGTTGTAGCTCCAGAAAGCTTCCAAATTCCATAAAAAAGTATACCACAACCACCAATCGCCCATACAGAACCCCAGAACAAAGCTCTTGTAGCAAGAGCTGCGCCAGATTCATGGAGACCTTTTCCTCCTGTAAGTCCGATATCAAAATGTTTACTATCTTTTTTCTTAACTGACGACAATGCATTGAAGAAACCACTTATTAAGGATATCCCTGCTATCCCAGTTAAGAATAACGTTTCTGAAACAGAAATTGACAAAATAATACATAACAATTTTATTTCTTTGCAATGAATAAATATAACTATTCAAAACATAAAATATTTTGCAAAAGATCAAGTATATAGTATAAAAATTCAAATATGAAGACTGATTTTACAATAAGTAAGTTCAGTACTCTGTTTGAATCATGAAAGACTCCAGTATGCCATTTTAGGGTTATGTAATTGCATATTTTATTATTAACATTGAATATAGGTTATGGATATAATGATATAAATTAGAAATTGACTGAAGTTTGAACTTATTGTCATTAAACTAAACTTAAATTTGTTCTATGCTATTTTATTAAATTAAAAAGCTAGTAAAGTTAAGATAAAAGACAACTAATATAAGTTTTGCATTTCTTATGTAAATTTAATAATCAAGATATAATAAAAATGAGATGTTTTATTAAAAAGAAATTCTTACTTTGAATTGTATTCAAACTGAAATCATTTCAATTTAGAAAGCAATGTATATACGTCTAAATTTTCAAATAAAATGTAAATATATACCATAAAATTTATTTTCTTTCTTCTCCTTTTGGTCCATGTCCACTGTTTTATATTATATTATATTGTAATTATTGTTGTGACACATTATATTACTGAGACAGCATAATAAATAATGATTTTTAATGAAAATTTAAGTAAAACAAGACAAAATTGGCAATGTTGTCTCTTTATCGGTTACTCCATAAATTATGATTTTTAACACGTAACCTCGATGGGCAAAATTTGCATATCATTACATCATTTTGTATCTTATACGTCAAAAGAATTACGAGAATAAAATTATAAAAGTTTATATACTAATCTGTTTAATTAATTCTTTTGTAAATGAAAATTTGATAAAACTAACCTCTTCACAATGTAATTAGGAAAACAAATTTTGTCGACCTGAAAGTCGAATTTTTAAACTATCTAGAAATTAAATTAATATCTTAATTCACAGCATTGATTAAAGAGAGAATAAACCGGGTATAAAATGGGAATTTGTGTCTCAGAGTCTGAAATACCGATCAGAAAAAATATCACTGATTTTTTAGCGCACTCTACGTTCAAACACAGACGAGATTCATATACCTCGTCTGTGATTGACAGCGTGTGAAATTGCGTTTAAATTTCTCTAGTTATTTCACTGCGGAAAATTTAACTTTCTTATCTAACGATCCGTAATTTATGGAAGTTTCTTTGAAGATGTTTCTTTTGGGTTAAATGAATTTTTCTATTAATTTTTAGTAAGAAGTTCCATTTGTATAAAATTCGAAATTAAAGGAGGAGAAATGATGGAAGGTAGTTTAACAAGAAATAATGTTAAATATTTTATAGTCGACAACGAATTTCAGTCTATTCGTAGTTTATAATAGTTTAATAAAAATGTTTTATGTCAAAATTTCAACTGATATTATATTTACTTTATTTCTAAATAAACAACTTGGAATAACCTACATTGTAGTATTTTATTAAGTTGCAGCTATGTGTTGATAAGTTATGTTAATACTCATTCATACTTGTTTCAGAAGAATTGAAGGATAATATTGGTAAATTAATTGAAGAACTACGGTTCTTGGTAAAATCTGAGAAAAAAATTGAGGATATCAATCAAGTATTGGACTCTATTGTTAATATTAGCAAAACTTCTATTGGAGGTATTAATTGTTTGAAATTTGAATTTATATTTGAGAAACACCCATATATAAGAATCTGTCAATTACCATAAACATGTATCATCAAATCAGTTTTATTTTAATTCATAAAAGACATTTATGATATATTTTTATGATTTATGATCTATATTTTTATTAACAGATGAACTTCAATTGCTTTTCAGAGAGTACTGAGTTTACTATAGATGATGTTTTTTTAACTTTACTGCATCATGAATCTAAAGAAATTATCGCAAAGACTGCAAAAGCAATTGCTGAAATTGCAAAAAGTGAAAGAGGAAGAGAAAAATGCACTAGCACAGATTTGATAAATGCATTAATAGATCTGTTGAAAGAAGATCGAATTGATGTATTGACACAGACTTCTAGGGCTTTGGGGAATATTTGTTATGAGAATGGTAGGGAGCTTTAATCCCTAATGATCCAAATTTTGTTCATGTATGTAGTTAACATCAAAATTAACATTACTATTACTAGAATGGCATTGCTAGAAACTTTTGCATTAACTACAATAATAACATGTTTAGTTCTTAATTTTTCAAAAATTCAAACAATTGGTATAATATTTTTATTGCAATCGTTTAACAATAACTCTAAAGATATAGAAGAGAGAAAACCAATGATATAGGTATCGTTCAGAAATAATTAGTTTAAATTAACGTATTATAATATAAAATATTATTGCAATAATACATAAATTTCACTAAAAAAATTATTATAGAAAATGGTAAAAAGTTTGTTGAGGACAAAAATGGATTGATATCGATTCTGGCAGTATTGGAAAAAAGTATTGCATTGAAAGATGTAGAAGGTGCACCATTTCTTCGCAATGTTGCTGCAGGACTTTTGTTAAACTTTCTTGACCGACCATCTCTTCATATAGAGGTAATATATTTGCTGTAATATTTTTGCTATTTTTCTTATTTCGTATATCATTCTAAAAAATATATTTTTTTTCTTTCTCAGGCACTGAAAAAAGAAGTAGTACCAATTATCTGTAGTATTTTAGAAATCGATGGAAGTACGGGTGGAGAGGCTGCAATGCATTCTCTTTTAATACTGGGAATATTAAATGATGCTAATATAATATTTTTAGACGAAAGACTTACACAAATTTTAGTAAATATCTTATCCACTTATACGTCATCAGAACTTTCTGAAACGTGTTTAGAACTTCTTCATGGGCAAGCAGAAGATGGTACCATTATAATCCTTAAAATACAAAATAGATTATATTTCAATTGCCTAAATATTATTTCTGTAATACTAATAAATTTGAAATATTCACTTGAAATATTAGTTAGTATTAATTCATGTCAATTTCAGAGAATGCAAAGTTGCTTCTTGCCAAAGCAGGTGTTTGTGAATTATTGTTAAAATTATTGGAAAAGCATAGTCCATATTGTACAGATGAAGAAACAAGATCTGTGTTGAAGATTGCTTGCAATTTAATTGTTCTTATATTAATTGGAGGTATATTGACGAAAAAGAAAAGTAATAAGCATTCAACTGCATTTTATAAGTAATATGTATATATATATGTAATGTTATGTTTTAGATGATAGTATGAACTATCTGTACGATCAGAGTAATGGTATTGCCTATAAAAAACTAGTTGAGTGGCTTGAAAGTGAAGATAAAGATTTACAAATTACAGCTGTATTGGCAATGGGCAATTTTGCACGTACAGATGCTCACTGCAAACTCATGGTTGCACAAGGTGTTCACCGCAATCTTCTGAAACTACTTCAAAAAAATAATACAAATGTCGCTGATATAAGATCTCAACATGCATTACTCAGCGCTTTGAGAAATCTTGTTATTCCTGCGGATAATAAACCTGTAATATTAAAAGATGGATTGATAGATGTCTTATACTCTATGCTGGATGTTTCATCTTATTCAGTTGTATTTAAACTGCTGGGCACTTTAAGAATTGTTATCAATGGTCAAAGTACGCTGATAGCAATTTTCTCTTGAAAATTGTTTTAAATATACAGAGAAAATGTATTGATATAATATATTGATATAATATACAGAAAATTTGATTACACTAACGGATAAAATATTTATGATTATAGGCGAAGCGGCCATTGAGTTAGGAAAAAGAGATGGTTTAATGAAAAAGGTTGTCAATTGGTGCGAAGTTGAAGAACATCCTGGAGTCCAGGGTGAAGCAAATCGTTTAATTGCTTGGTTGATTAATAATAGCAGGTTATTTAATTTTAATAAATGTATTGCACGTATTATGCACGTGTATATATAATTGTTAATATTTATGTTTTTTATCATTAGAAATAAAGAAATAGCACTTTTAGCAATGGAACATGGAGCTGTTAAATGTCTAATTAAAATGTTAACAGCACCACATATTTTAATGCTAAATGAAGCTTTAATCGGCTTGATGATATTGACTACAACTTCCTTGGTTGAATGTGAGAGTCTTCTTATTAAGGATGATATAGGAGAGAAACTTTGCAAACTTTTTAGTACTTCAAACAATTTGGAAGTATCAGTTTTGCATAATGTTTTAAGTCTAGTAGATAATATTCTTAAATCAGGTATTATTGAAAATTAATTGCAATTGCAAAAACAAAGAACTGATGAAATTGTGCTAAAGTTTGTTAAATTTAAATTTCAGATGCCTTAAAAGAACATCTGCGAAAAACTGATTTAATAACGTTATGTCAAGAAACAAATTTAATCAAAGAAGAACCAAAACTTGATGAGAAATTGGGAAAAATTCGCGAAAAAATTGCATAATTAAATATCAGGGAAAAAGCAGAATTTGGAAACGTATAATTATAAATATATATGAGAGATACAAACATCCAAAATATAAAACATTTTTTAATTAAATGAAAATAATTCTTCCTATTCTTGTCTAATGATCAAAATGATGCCAATGTAACATCAGTATACATTACAGTTTACAAGTACAATGAGATTATCGTCAAAAAATCATATAATATAATAATTTTTAACATTTTTCAATTTTAGTATTTTACTGATTATACATTTTTCTGTTATAGATGTACCTCCCGCTTATATATACATATTTAAAATTATTTTGTATTTTATATATATATGTATGTATGTATGTATATGATATGGAAAATTAGTTTAAAATTATTTTTCAAAATTAACTTTGCTATTTGTTGTAATATGAAGAAATATTCATTAGTATGTCAACTTGTTTATTAAACAACTAATATAAATGTTACTAATTATTTGGTACATGTATCTACAATGTGGATTATTTTTTAGTTAATCTAAATGTGATCATTTTCTTATTATAAAAAAAAAAGGAAACAGATGTTATAAATTTTTGAACATGTGTACCAATGTAAGTACATAGTTTTAAGAAACTGACCAAATAATATATTTTATGTAATTAATTAATAATAAATTTACAGATCAAAATTTCTGATAACTATACTGTAATCTTCATTGTTTTTTTTTTAAAGATAATGTTATTACATGATCTGATATTTTTCATTTGCCTAGTTTTTTTAGGTTAGCTGATTTACAACAACAGTAAACAAGATAATAGAGCTTGTAATTACTTTTCTCTGAAAAATAAATTTTTTTCTGTAAAAATCAGAAGATACGTTGTTCGATTGGATGTGCGTTCTCATGTCTGCATGTATATACTCATCTATTTTAAGATCAAATTTTCAGCAATAATTTTTCATAGTAAAAAGAACACGGATAAACGATTTCACTGGTATTTTTAGCACTATATGCTTCGTAGATTGCCGGTGACCCGTGGTATTTGTTATAAGTAAAACTTCTATTGAAAAATCCGATGTGAAAAGCAATTTTTAAGTTCGTGTTTGTTACAAGTAGAACCCCTATTGAAAAATCCGATACGAGGAATGATTTTTGACTTGTTGACAATTATAATTCTTTTTCAAAGAATCTACACATGAAATAAAACACAGAAATATTAAAAAATCAGATTTCTTAGCGCGCTTCCAAAAAGTAATTTTTCTATGTTTTATAATTATTATTTAAATAAATTTTACGAATTATGTAAATTTCAGATTACTTAGACCATTTAATAAAACAAATAAATAAATTGACAATCAGTATATGATATAAAATGTTGCATAATATTTCATATTTTGTAACAACAAAATGAAAAGAGTGAAGTGCTTTTTAAATAATTTTGAAAATCTCTCCAGCCATCGATACCGTATTAATAATAAAATTAAACAACGTTTCATTTAAAATTTAAACCATCCTCACAACCCTATAAATATGTAAAAAAGAGAAGTATTTTCGTGTTACAAAATATATGTGTATATATATATATATATATATATACATATTTTTTCCTATGCGTTCCATGCGTGTAGAATCCGTGCGACTGTAATCATCAAGCAATATTTTTACGTATTAATTGAAATTAATATATGTAAATTTATTGTTTGGTTGCAGGCGAGGCTGCAGCAGAACTTCGTATCTTGCACTTCCAATTTCCGGAATGGTTACGCTCGTGCACGAGCACGGGTAAATGGGTTACGAACTTTCGTAATGCTGGGGAATGACAAAGTGGCAAAGTTTTGCTCCATCAACCCTCCAGCAGATGGTGCTTTGTCTGTTCCCAGGTGAACGTTCGTGGTGCGCAAGCGCGTCGACCTATCACTTTGGTTGAGCGGTGCTTAAGCCTCGACTGTCAGTAGTGGTACGGCGGCCACATCGAGGGTTGATGTTTCGTATCCTGTCCAAGACAACGAGATCGGTAAGCGCCTTTTCATCCTCTTTCAGATCTCCGGTTCGTCCTGCGACTACTTCGATTGTACGCTCTTATCGCGCGTCCTCTGATTTTTCTTTCGCCATTCACGTCTCACGGTTTCAAATTGCAACGGAATGTCGAAACTTTGGCGGGATGAGGATGCTGCGTGCGCGTGATTGTTATTTTTGAGGGATTCGGGATTCTTTTTATTTTTTATTTTTTTTTGGGCACCCTTGGCTCGATAAACACCTCCCATCCGCCATTTTAACTCGTCCTTATCGATCGATAGGAAGGAGATAATCGGTGGTATTACCGACACGCTGATTGTTTCCTCGCCGCGACGAATTAAAAAGAGGAAAATAATTATTACTATCGTTTATCGATGGACAGGTGGCGTTTGGGTTTTTTCCTCGTAAGGCTGTTGTATCGTTTCTCCATAGCTCCCTCGCGTTCTTCTCTAACGACGAAATTTGAATGCGACGGCTTTCGTGTTTCCGCTTCGGTTGCTCGGTGTTTTTTTAATAAATTTCGTCGATCAGCGAGAGTTTCGAAAGTGTGTGAACGAATGTGAGTACAAAGTGATGAACAATTTTCTGATAAACTTTGAGAATGTTAAATACGTGCTTGATATGTTGAATATTTGAATTTTGTAGGGTGGTCCCGTCGGTTTCTAGTAGTTGTAGTGGTTTCTACTTCATTTGAAACTACACACACCAATGATAATGTAAACGCAAGTTGTTCAAAACGTTATTTTTAAATCTTGCCTCCACTCGTTTATTTGTTCAAATTGTTTTTGAAACAGGAACGAGATTTACTTGTCGATAATGTAATTTTCTTTTCTCTCTTTCTCTCTCTTTTTTTTTAAAGTCATTAATATGAAACGTAACAAAGTATAAAACATTTTTATTTTTATAATCGTAAGATATAGATAGAATCATATAGATAACACTTGTAGAATTTTTTATATAAGCAAACATTTCGTTCGCAAAAATTATATCTGTTTTATCGCGTGTAGACAAGTTTCTTTATTAAACGAGAGAGGAACTAATCACTTCTGTATACTATAATTGGGAAAAGGCATAGAGCACGAATTTATTTGTTCGACAAAATAAATGACTATAAAGGGGTACAGTTATAGACTGTAAAAAGATTGATGTGTACCAATGATTGAAGCCAATATTGGCAACGAGATTTTTATTTTTATTAAGGATATAAAAGCGTTACAATACGATGCAAGATATATCGGTCGAGACACACACACGTACGTATACAGAGCAATAGAAATTCGACGAGATTTATGTTGTACGTGCTTGTTCAGTGACTTTATGGATTTAATACGTTCCCTCCGTTGTTTGTTTTCATGCTCATCCATTTGATATCTGAGTAAGTACCTTCGTTCAATTTATACAAATTTTTATTACTTCTTTTTTTTTTTT